CCCCCATGCTGTTCTCGTGACAGTGACGAGTTCTTATGAAATCTGATGGTTTGATAAGTGTCTGACAGTTCCTTTTTCACACACTAGCTGTCTCTCACCTGCTGCCATGTAAGATGTGCCTCTTCCCCTTCCACCATGATTGTAAGTTTTCTGAGGCTTCTCTAGCAATCCGGAACTGTGAGTCAATTAAACCTCTTTTCTTTAAACATTATGTAGTCTTGGGGAATTCTTTATAGCAGTGTGATAACTGATTAATACACATTTCATCATGAGATTTGAAGTAGATGAACATTCAAACTATGTCATGAGAGAACAAAATTAGTTTGAAAACTTAGGCAAAATGGAAAATTGTCAAGAAAAATATGTCATACCAAGACTGACTCAAAAAATAATTAAAATATTGACTAGTCTTGTTATTATTAAAGAAATTGTGCCAGGAAAAAATTAAAATATTTCTATTAAATAAATCAGCTTAAATGTTTTTTTCAGGTGAGTTCTACCAAACATTCAAGCCACAGATATTTTCTATCATATACAAAATTTTCCAGGAAATTTAAAAAGTGTGAATACTTTTGAACTTATCCTATGAGGTTGGTGAAACCCTGATATCAAAATGAGGCAAGGACAGTAAGAGGAAAAAATCAGGCCAATCTCATGAATATAGATGCAAACCATTCTAAACAAAATATAAGCAAGCAACTCCAAGAATGTTTAAAACAGGTGTCTATCATAACCAAACTCTATTTTTGCCAGGAATGCAAAAATAATTTAACATTAGCAAATTCATAAATATCATTTGCCACATTAGCAGATTAAAGGAGACAAACTATCTCAACAGATGCCCAAAAAAGCATTTGTAAACTTTAATACTTAATTGTGATTAAGAGCTCAACAAACTAGAAGTAAAGGAAACTTTTAAAACCTGATAAATAGTATCTATAAAAGCTAACAACAAACGTCAGTCTTAATGGTGAAACACAAGAAATAGTCCTTTTAAAATGAAGAAGTAAATAAAGACGCAATCACTCTTATTCAACATCGTACTGATAAAGTGAGAAAAAGAAATAACAGTATAAAGTTTGGAAATAAAATAAAACTGCCACATATTCAGATTATATGACTTTCTACATGGAAAATTCAAAAGAATCTACAAACTATTATTATTATCAAGGTATCTCAGTTCTTTATTTCTCTGTAACAAACCACCCCAATATTGCATGACTTAATAGCATTTCATTTGTTTGCAGTTCTTTGTGTCGGCAATTCGCCTACTCAGGTAGACAATTTATTTGCTGGTGCTGCCTGTGGTCACTATATTATCTAGGGATTTGAACTGGAGCTGGATGCCTTAGATAGCCTCACTCACATGTCTGGTAATTGATGCTGGCTGTTGGCTGAAGAGTTCATCTCTGTTCTATGTGGCTAACCCAAGCTTCTTCACATGGCCATCTTAGGAAATGCTTCAATAGGGAAAAGCAGAAGCCGCAAAGCTTCTAAAGGCTTAGTATTGGAAGTTCTTTGGTATCAGTTCCACTATATTCTGCTGGCCAAAGCAATTCACAAGGTCAATTCAGCTTCAGGGGTCTGCAAAATAGGTTTTCTTCTTCATGAGAGAGGAAAAAAGCATTGTAAAGGGATAAGCATCAGGATGGTAGGGATTATTGCAGCTATTTTTATAGATATTCTGCAACACAATATTTAACAAGTTAGCTAAGAATGCATTTAGCAAACTATGTGTAAACTCTGTATAGTGCAAATTATAAAACTTTATTAAAATACATTAGAAGACCTAATTTAAAAAGAGGTATACATGTTCCTGAATATGAAGACTTAAATGTTAGTTCTTTCTATAGATTCAAACAATTCCAATAAACATTTCACAATATTTTCAAAGAACTTAACAAGCAGAAGGCCCAAGAATAGCCAAAATATTCCTGAAAAAGAAAGGAGGGAGGAGAAACACCCTACCAAATAGCAAAACTTATTATGTAGCTCTGGTAATAGAGAAAGTGTGGTATTCATGCAGGAATAGACAATAGACTAATGAAGCAAGCTATGTATACATAATCATTTGATGTATGACGGAATCATAGCAGGTCACTGGGACTAAGCAGTGAATAGGGCTGGGATAATAGGTTACCAACTGAAAAAAATTGATCCCTACCTCAAGCCATATAAAATAATCAATTAGTGATAGTTCAAAAAGAAACTCTTAAACACTTATACTAGGGGACATATAAAATAAAGATTCAGAGCAGTACTGTTTATAATAGAAAAAGAAGATAATCACGTAATATACTACATAGCAAGGAAATCATCAAAGACATTCTTCTGCAAAGAATCATTTTGTGTCCTTGCTTTCCAACAGCACTCAATTTAGAGTGATGCCTCACTTGCCTGGACCCTCCTCAAAATCACACAATCAAAGCCCAAATCCTAGAAGAGTTTCTTTCTAACAGCCCTCTTACTGAGACATTCCATAGTTCTCCATGGCATGCACTCTCTCAAGCTACAAGAAGCAAACCAGCTTGCTCAACAATAGGTATGTTCCTGGTGGTCTCTGACTGGACAACACAAAGAGCAGTAATTGATCTCCCCTTCTTCCCAGACATGTGAGCAAATGGTTAAATATTGATGTCAGCAGCCCTTGAAATCTCCAACTGGGCAATGTTTGAGCTAGGTGTGACCCATAGTCACTGGTGTTGAGAAAGTTGAGAAAATGTAGAGTTAAGAGTATTAGATGTGATTTTAGATTCCAGACACCTAAAATCACCCATGATGTTGATGGGAACCAAAACTAGGGAATAGAAGCTGTGCCAGTGAAGTGGCCTTAGGATGATTTTTCCAGCCAGCTAAGAGGAGGTCATTATTATCTTCTCTCTTGACCCAATTTCCCTCCAGCTGTTGGTATCTTGGAACAAACATGAGAATTTATAGATTGAGACCAAGCAGACTCAAGCATAGAAGGGGGAAAAAAAAGCAAGAAGGCAATAAGTGTGAGTCTCAAATCCAAAAAGAGTATCAAGGGGTGGTTGGGACTGGCTGTGGCTGTGCTGGTCAGGCATGCTGATCTCAGGACACTCAAGGGACAACTAACACACATCTAGTATTTTCGAGGTACTTCCATATCCACTGTCTGTAAACCTCATGCCGACATTTTACAGATGAGGGAAGTAGGACTCAGAGAGGCTACATGACTTACTCAAGATCTCTCTGCCAATAAGAGGCGGAAGCAGGATCTCAACCTCAGTGTAACTGACTCCAAATCCCACCTGCATTCATCCGTTTTTCTCCATTGGCTTGGCCAGAAGGAGAAGAAGCCAGGAGCCAGAGATGAAGAGAAATTTCCTCTGAAGGTTTGCTCAGAAGGGCACCTGGTGTTTCCCCTCTCTTCTCCCTCTTACAAACAACTAAAGGGGAGTTAGAAGACACAAAACACTAGGACTAGGGGTGAAGAAAGGCACTGCTTAAACTGGTCACTGGGACTATACATCACCAGGGCCACAGAACAGAGCTTCCCTGAAATAGCAACTGGAGGCGGCGCCCACCAAGCCATATCATCCCCTTGACTCATGCAGTTGGCTCTTCCTTAGTTTGTGGAAATGAGACAATGAGGATGCGGATGTACCAGATTGCTGGAAATGAGCCCTGCGGTCTCTGGGAGCCATCCAGACATACCCTACTGTTGGGAAGTCCCCTCGGCCGCCGCTGCAAGTCTCTCTGAGTGCCCTGGTGAAAGAGTTCTAGTGTCCTGCAGGAACAGCTGAGGAATCGGCCCCTCCAGTCACCTTCAGGTGTTAGCACTTGGCTCTCCAGAACCTGGGAGTATGGCAAGGGTGTGCTGAAGGTGATCTCCAGGCACAGGGCATGTGACCGTGGGGCAGGGGCCATTCCTCAGGCTACGGGAGCCCCCTGGGGCTCTCTCCCTGCGGTGCACACCGACCGTCTCACCTCTGCATTCTCACCCTGCTGAGGACAGAGCTAGTGATGGATTGGAATTCCTTTGAGACTTGCCTTATTTTCCCCTAAGGGAAACCTACCATCTTTCTGGATTGTGGAGATTGGAGTAAAATCAAGTTGGCATGAAAACATTAGCAAGCACTTAGTCTCCCCAAGTCCAGTGTAGAAGCAGAGGAGACTAAAGTCAGACTGCTGACAGCGACATTCTTGGGGAGCCAGCAGTCAGGGAGTCAGATACTCTTGAAGGCTCTATGCCTGCGAAATCCCAAATTGGCCTCCTGTGCAGTAAATCCTCCTGTCCCACCACATCCTTTCCTGTCTCGTCCTCAGCTGATTTCAGTGTCCATATGAATCTCCCCTTCATCACTCTGGCCCCACAGATCCTTGACCCCATAAACTCAACTCCATTCTGCCTCCGCCGCATACACCCACAGAATTTGGGATAGGAATCAGGGCCAGAGAACAGAATTGGGGATTTCAGAAGTAGAGGTGCTAAGGGTGGTGATGTTCTGCTCTCTGGTCCAAATTCCCGTCCTTCCAGCTCTGCCGCTCTGTAACTTTCACTCTGCCTATTCTTTAGCGTAGAGACCATGGTGTTTCCTTGCTCTGATTCTTTGTCAGTCTTGGTCTGGGTGTGAGAGGAAAGAGGAGGAGCGAAGCAGCCCTCTACTTGACAGGCTGTTAGGCTGTGGCTGGCACTGAAGCCAGGCTGGGAAGGGGAGGAAGGGAGGGGCGTCAGCTGGGTTAGTGGCCCTGCAGAGAAGCCGGCCAGTAACAATTGAGAACAAAGGCTGGATACTCTTCCGCTGAGCTTCAGAGCCTGGCCTTAGCCTTCCGGGACAGCTCCAGGAAATGGCTGAGATTCCAGATTTGGAAGGAAGAGACCTGTAAACACCAGCTGAGCTCTGAGAGAGGAGTGTGGCCTCTGTCTAGGTTGTCGGGGGGAAGTGGGCAGCGGGTGAGAGGTGGTATTCTAGGCTCAAAAGCTGCAAGGCCTGTCTGCTACAGACACAGACACGGGGTCTCAGGACTGGAAAGACTCTTAAAGGGTCTTTTACTCCAACCAACTTTCCAGGGCCTGAAAAATACTCCTGCTGAGGATGCTCCAATAGTTTCAGTGATGGGATAGACCTAAAAATAAATACACAATACTGGCTCAGCTTTACGGATCATTCATACTATGTCAGGCACTAGATGCCCCTGGTTTTATGCTTTCTATGTTTCATTACTTTATCCCTCAAGGCAGGAACTACTATTATTATTTCCATCTTATAGAGAAGGAAACAGACTTGCCCAAGGTCTCCACAGACGCTTCTTTCATTCGTCTCTGAACTGAATATGGACACATCCTGTGGGAATCTCCCAGCTTGTCCCAGAGTCTCTGAGTCCTTCCTGTCTCCCACCGTACTCCACCCCTGGCCTATCTGCCCCTGGGGAAATGGACCAGGGCATTGCAATCCACCCCTGCTCCGCTTCGCTCAGCCTCTCCAGCCTGCAGCCCCACTACCCTCTGTCCTCAGCCTCTTGTTGTGTCCTGAGACTCCTGGGGTTTTCATTCCTCTGTAGCAGGTGGCAAAGGGATAAGGACTGGGATCCAGGGATACAATTTGAATAGAGGATTAAGGCTCTGATTGGAATTATGCTTAGTGTAAGGATACCCTGTAAGAAATCCCAGACCAGATCATGAGATAAAGCTTAGGGCTGAAGTTAGTGTCAGGGGCTATGGCTAAAGGGTTGAGGTCAGAGAGTTTCTCGCCCCTGGTCTCCTCCCAGTTCTCCAAGGCACTGAGGGCCAGGCAGGAAGCATCGGTTTCCTCAAAGCCGCTTCCCTCCTGGGGCAGAGTCTCGGTCACAAACAACCACCACCAGCCCACCCCGCCCCTCCTTCCCTCTTCACTATGAGCTCAGAGCAGCGGGACAAAGTGCTCCGGACAAGGACAGAGGACTGAGAGTAGCCATGGGCTCTGGAGGAGAGAGCCTCCTGGGGAACAGGGGTTCCCTGCCTCTGCTGCTCCTGCTTACCATGGGTGAGTACGGCCCTCCCTCTCCCGGTCTATGCTCCCAGGATCCAAGGCCTACTCCACGCAGAAGAGGCCTGCTGACAGCTTGCTTCCCTTTTGCAGTGGGGGAACCAGAGATAAGAATGATGACGGTGATGATGATTAGTGTGTATAAGTCTATGTGTGTCCGCGTGTGTGCGCACACGCCAGAGAGAGACAGAGAGCGAACACGCCATGCAAGCGCTGGCCTGGATGCGGTTCACGCTGGCCCTCTCTCCTCCCAGCTAGCTTGTTCTTTGGGAGGCAACCTTTAGTAGTTCAGAGTACAGGTCATCTGGCAAACTTGCACACAGGAGAAGACAGATGAAGGTTGGGCCAGGAATTTGGGATGTTGCTGCTAATCAGACTGGGCTCTCCCTTATCCTCCAGGAGGCATGGCTCAGGACTCCCCGCCTCAGATCCTAGTCCACCCCCAGGACCAGCTGCTCCAGGGCCCTGGCCCTGCCAGGATGAGCTGCCGAGCCTCTGGTCAGCCACCTCCCACCATCCGCTGGCTGCTGAATGGGCAGCCCCTGAGCATGGTGCCCCCAGACCCACACCACCTCCTGCCGGATGGGACCCTTCTGCTGCTGCAGCCCCCTGCCCGGGGACACGCCCATGGTGGCCAGGCCCTGTCCACAGACCTGGGTGTCTACACATGTGAGGCCAGCAACCGACTGGGCACGGCAGTCAGCAGAGGCGCTCGGCTGTCTGTGGCTGGTGAGGCCTGGGAAGGGGAGCTTCAGGGTGGGGCAGACCTGGGTGGAAACATCTGAGCTGAATGTTAGAGGGAGCACCTGAGAGAAGGTCAGTGGGATACCTGTGAGCAGAGGCCTGGGCTGGAAGGCTTGGGAGGGGATACTGGGGTGGGGCTGGCCCAAAATGGGAGGCCAGGGATATGGGCAAAGCAGAAGCGGGAGAGTGTGATAAAGGAGGAAGAGGAGGCCTGGGCCCTGCTCCCTGTCACCTTTTGTCCTCCCCACAGTCCTCCGGGAGGATTTCCAGATCCAGCCTCGGGACACGGTGGCGGTGGTGGGTGAGCAGATGACTCTGGAATGTGGGCCTCCCTGGGGCCACCCAGAGCCCACAGTTTCTTGGTGGAAAGATGGGAAACCCCTGGCCCTCCAGCCTGGAAGGCACACAGTAAGTGTGGCCCCTCCCCCACGCTTTATCCTGGCCAGGGCAGACCTGGCACACCCTGAGGGACTGACCTGCCCTCCAGCCCCCCATCCTCTAGTAGAATTTGAGGAGGGGAGAGCAGGGAGGTCTCAAACTTCCCCCCAGCTCAGAATCCCTCCCCACGTAGGAGACTTCATGGTGAACCTGGCCCTGACAGGTGTCCGGGGGGTCCCTGCTCATGGCAAGAGCAGAGAAGAGTGACGCAGGGACGTACATGTGTGTGGCCACCAACAGCGCAGGACACAGGGAGAGCCGTGCAGCCCGGGTGTCCATCCAGGGTAAGGGCAGTGGTCGGCTAAAGTCAGGGCCAGGCTGCAGGCTTCAGTTAGGGTGGTGTGCTCTGGTTTGGGCTGGGGTTAAGGTATGTGGGGTCAGGGTCAAAGTGCTGGGGGTCTCAGATAGGGGGAGGCTCCCCTCTGCTAGAGTAGAAATCCGAATGCTCAAGACCTGGGGACTCTGGGAGTTTGGATTCCTCCCTGGCTGGAGGATGCTCCATGCCTCAGTTCTGTCACTCTGGCCTGTAGGCCCCAGCCCAGCCCTATCCTCCCCACAGAGCCCCAGGACTACACGGAGCCTGTGGAGCTTCTGGCTGTACGAATTCAGCTGGAAAATGTGACGCTGCTGACCCCGGACCCCGCAAAGGGCCCCAAGCCTGGGCCGGCAGTGTGGCTCAGCTGGAAGGTAAGGGCCAGGTGCTAAGGGTGAAAGCCAGTCCAGAGCTCAAGAGAGGGCTGGTCCTAAGCTCCCTGACCCTCACTCTTCCTCACAACTCCCTCCCAGGTTAGCGGCCCTGCTGCACCTGCCCAATCCTACACGGCCTTGTTCAGGACCCAGACTGCCCCAGGAGCCCAGGGAGCTCCGTGGGCAGAGGAGCTGCTGGCTGGCTGGCAGAGCGCAGAGCTTGGAGGCCTCCACTGGGGCCAAGACTATGAGTTCAAAGTGAGACCATCCTCCGGCCGGGCTCGAGGCCCTGACAGCAACGTGCTGCTCCTGAGGCTGCCGGAAAAAGGTCGGGGCCTGATCCCCTCAAAGCCCAACAATACCCTCTCTGGCTCCCTCTTATTTGGGGCCCTCTGGGCTGTCCCACTTCAGTCTTGGAGGGAGAAGATAGGTCCTGCTCTGGGACTCGCTTCTGCCCTGGCCAGGCCAGCAGAGCTTTGAGAGATTTCTTGCCTCCTCACTGGGGCTCTGACTCTGTGTCCCCCTTGCCAGCTCCTTTCCCTAGAGTCCTTTCCCTCAGAGCCCCTGATAGCCTCTCTCCCACCCCTCCAGTGCCCAGTGCCCCACCACAGGAGGTGACCCTAAAACCTGGCAATGGCAGTGTCCTTGTGAGCTGGGTCCCACCACCTGCTGAAAACCACAATGGCATCATCCGTGGCTACCAGGTACTCCCACAAGCTGACACAGCCCTTCTTAGTGCTCCTAAGACATCTCTTTTCTCTGGAGTTCTGCATACCCTTCTTTGGGCACTGAGAAAGGTACCTTTGAAGAGAAGCAAAGGAAACCTGCTTTTGCTGAGCAAGGACCCACCGTCTGCCAGACCCTGCCAAGCACTTTTCCTCCATGATCCATCTCACCTCACAGTCCACCCTGGGGTATTATCCCCAATTTACAGACATAGAAAGTGAGGCTAAGGCCACAGGAATAAGAAACAGAGTAGATCAAACCAGACTGTGAGGAAGGGAGTGGTGCTCAATCTTTGGCTTCTGGAGCACCAACATCAGCCTCACCCAGGAACTTGTTAGGGATCCAACACCTCAAATCCTTTCCCAGGCCTAATGAATCAGAAACTCAGAGATGGGTCTGGCAAGCTGTACTTTAGCAGACCCTCCAGGTGACTCAGAAGCACGCTGTTATCTGAGAACTGCTGGTGTTACATGTATTTCAGCAGACGGCTTTTGCTCTTCTGTTGATCTATAGAGAAGTGTCTCTCATTTTGTAGGAAGAATAGAAGGGAAATAGGAAATTGGGTGCATGTTTGGGGAGGGGCTCTCCAGGCGGATGGCAGGGCAGAATGACCACATCCTGGGAGTCTGATCTGCAGATAAAGGGCTCTGCTTCTGGGATTGTGCCTGGGGCAGCTGCTCATCTCTGCTTGTGCCTCAGGTCTGGAGCCTGGGCAACACATCACTACCCCCAGCCAACTGGACTGTAGTTGCTGAGAAGACCCAGCTGGAAATCGCCACCCACATGCCAGGCTCCTACTGCGTGCAAGTGGCTGCAGTCACTGGTGCTGGGGCTGGGGAGCCCAGTAGCCCTGTCTGCCTCCTTTTAGGTGAGCCCCACCCTACCCTTCAGCCTGCATCACATCCTGCCTTCCTCTCTCCTCGCTCCTGCCTCACACTTCCAGCTCCTCCCCCTTGCCTGCCAGGCCCTCATTACCTCACCTGCCGCTCCAGCTGAGCTTTGCATCCCATACAGAGCAGGCCATGGAGCGAGCCACCCGAGAACCCAGTGAGCCTCGTCCCTGGACCCTGGAGCAGCTGAGGGCCACCTTGAAGCGGCCAGAGGTCATCGCCAGCTGTGGCGTGGTGCTCTGGCTGCTGCTTCTGGGCACCGCAGTATGTATCCACCGCCGGCGCCGAGCTGGGGTGCACCTGGGCCCAGGTGAGAGTCAGGGGGACCCACATGTGTACTGGCCTCTTCGGCATCCAGCCAGAATGGTGCTTTGGATCTCTGGTGGTGGAGCCTCTGGATTTAGCCTTCCTCCTGCCTTCTCCCAGGTCTGTACAGATATACCAGCGAGGACGCCATCCTAAAACACAGGTGAGAGGTGAAGGGGGAGGGACCTGAAGTAAGGGATGGGGGCAAGAGACAGTGGAGCTGCAACAGAGAACTGAATGGAGTATTAGTCTACCTGCCTGGCAGTTTGGGACTCTCGTGCTTGAATCTCTCCTGTGACTCTAAGTGAGAGTTCATTTCTCTGTCATTAATATTTCCTATCACACCACTTGACAGACTAGTAAACTGAAGCTCATAAAACTTCAGTGACTTTGCTCAAGGCTGCTTTACTTCTGAAGCCCCAATCCAGGGCTCTTGTCACCCACCTCTCCTGTTGCCTCACTCTGCTAGGTGGAGAAAAACCAGCATGAGACGACCAGCTCAAATGCCTCATGTTCTCTGTGCACCCATGGTCTACCAAGTAGCGCCTGTGCACTCAGTAACTCTCTCACTGAGCCAGTGTGCCTGCCTCGGAATCCACCCGCAGCTCCAGCAGAGGGTGTTCAGTGCCTACTGCATAGATGCTTCCTCATTGTTGTCAAAAACAGAATCTGCTCATAGACCCTTCTGCTTCTAGTATATTTGGCTGCCAGAACAAGTCTGCGGTTTGGGGACATCATGCTGATAAGGAACACATCCTTCTTGCTCCCGTTGTCTGAGTTTTGCACTAAGTAACCATTTCATCTCTCTGCCTGTCTTCTTGGCTCTTTATCTCATTAGATCTCCTCCAGGAGGCTTCCACTATCTATCAACAGGAGTTATTGAGCACCTACTATGTGCCAGCACATCCAGGCCTAGAGCTGTCATTTCACTGTCAGGTTCTCAGCCCAGAGCAGGGGTCCAAGCTGGCTGTGTGTTCTGAGCTTTTCTGAACAAACTGACTTCTTTGTTCCAGCAACTGCCTTGCTTTGTCTGCTCTGCCCTAAGTTTTCTCTGGCTTCCCTGACACCTCCTACTCTGACCTTGAGAGAAATACCATTCTGACCTTCGGTTAATTCATTCCTTTAGAATAGCCTCCACCATCCTGGATCTCTCAGTGTAGACAGAGACAGGCATGAGAGCATATACATGCAATCCCGTATTGGCCACGCAGAAGCAGGTACAAGACACATGGAGGGGGTCAATGTGGAAAAACATAGGAGAAAGAGGATTCCACATTACCCCGACAGTAAGAAGGGGGTGGAGGGAAGAGCAATGAAGCAGCAAGTAATAGCCTGCTATGTCCATAGGGAAAGACAAGCCATTCGTTCTGGCTCGGGTACAGGGTGTGAGATGGGTCAGAGCAAAGGATATAGTTAGGGGGCTAGAATCCAGACCAGGGAGGGTCCTGTTAGCCATGCTAGGCACCTGGGCTGTATCATGGCAAATGAGGGGACATTGAAGGTCCTATGCGGAGAAGTTCCTTGCTTAGATCCCCGTTCTTGAAGGATCACTCAGGCAGCCAGAGGCCAACATCCAGGGAGCAAGCTCCTACTCTGCCAGCTGAGTGATCTCACATTTTTTCATTCAAACTCGGAGCATGAGGCTTGAGTGCGGAAGGCCCTATTGTTACTATTCTACAGATGAGAAAACTGGGGCTTAGAGAGGCCAGTAGATGTACTTACCCAAACTAAGCTGTGACAGATAAGGATTGTCAAAACAGATTTGTCTTCAGGCCCTCTTTTCATCTCAGCATACATAGCTGTCTTTCGTTACTACCTCCCAGCTCCGGGTGACTCACGCTTCCCCTCGCCCAGGAATAGAAAGGGGTGCTGAGTTTGGGAGACCAGGTCAGAGATCTTAAGGAGCCTGTGAGGGGCTGTAAAGCAATAGTAAGGATGAAGCCGATACCACCATCTCCTCGCTCTCTTCTGCTGCCCTCTGAACAGGAGGTCTTGGCCAATTACGTTCTCACGTCTCTCTGTTTCTCCTGGCCTCACCCCTCCCTCCACTGCCCCAGGATGGATCACAGTGACTCCCAGTGGTTGGCAGACACTTGGCGTTCCACCTCTGGCTCTCGGGACCTCAGCAGCAGCAGCAGCCTTAGCAGTCGGCTGGGGGCGGACCCCCGGGACCCGCTAGACTGTCGTCGCTCCTGTGAGCATGCCCAGTGGGGGCAAGGGCCTAGCTGGGAGCAGGGATCGCAGAGATGGAAAGCGGAACATGCTGACCATAATTCCTCCTGTCATTTTTATCACAGTGCTCTCTTGGAACTCCCGAAGCCCTGGCGTGCCCCTGCTTCCAGACACCAGCACTTTTTATGGCTCCCTCATCGCTGAGCTGCCCTCCACTCCCCCAGCCAGGCCAAGCCCCAGGGTCCCAGCTGTCAGGTGCCTCCCGCCCCAGCTGGCCCGGCTCTCCAGCCCCTGTTCCAGCTCAGACAGCCTATGCAGCCATAGGGGACTCTGTTCTCCACGCTTGTCTCTGGCCCCTGCAGAGGCTTGGAAGGCCAAAAAGAAGCAGGGTAAGGATGGGGAGGACAGACATAGCCTGAGCTGGTGGTACGCAGGTCTAGGAGTGGGGATGTGATGGGAATGAGGCCTCAAAGCCTGGAGTGGGGTGCAACCCCCACACCCTCCTTCCATTCTCCTCTCCCAGTGGACACAAGGCCTCATTCTCCTTCTACCAGAGCACTCAACTGGGAGTGCGATCGCCTCAGCTTCTCTTTGCACTGTGCTCTTGTTTCAGTTTGGGTACACCAGCAGTGAGCCCTGTTTCTGCACTCAATTCAATGCAGCAAACACTTAATAAGCACCACTGCATGCCAGACACGGGGGACACAAGAGACACCAGGCGCAGCCCTTGCCTTCTAAGGGCTCAGGGCCTAACAAAAGTGCTGACTGGCATACAAGTCATGCTAGAGCCTGGAGGAATGTGACCAGTGCTGGCATGAAGCCTCAGGCTCCTACGAGCTCATCTCCTGGTGTATTATGTACAGGTGTGCCTGGGCATCGACTCCCAACTCACTTCTCAGAGAGGAAGGGGTGTTTCCTTTCTGGTCAGGTTTCTCTCCTGACTCCCAGCTGCCTTCTTTGACTTTCCAGGGAAAAATAATTATAGCCTCCATTTCCTGATCAATTACTATATGCTAGGTGCTTGACTTATATTTGTTATTTCATTTAATCCTCACAACAAGTTAGCTAGCTATTATTTCTCTCATTTTATGACAGAAAGAGAGTCAGAATGACTGAGTTGCTGGTTCAAAATTCTGAAAGTATTTAGCTTCAGGGCTCAAATCTAAAGGCAGGATAGTCTGCCGCTGAAGGTGATTCTGAGTCTCTCTGGAGATCCCTCAGGAAATCCTATTCTCTCTTTGAGTATTTTTCCTGTTTCTGGGCTGCAGAACGTTGGCCTGCACTCTACCTGCTGTCTTCATGAGTATTCTGTACTGATTGGTAAGACCTAACAAATGTTCTACAGCCAAGTCTTTTTTTTAAATGGATATAATCCAACTTTTATTAAGACAAAGATGGATTAAGATCATTAAGAGCTTGTTCAATATCCAGAATTTTATGACTCTAAGTATCAGCAAAGCTGGCATCCTTACTAGCTTTGCCTCAGAGTGACTGCATCATAAATCCTCGGTGGTAATGAAACACCAGCTTAAAAGAGGTTGAATAGTCTCATTTGAAAAACGCCTTCCCATGGAGAACGACACTGAATCTAATGGAATGGATAGCCCCTCTTAGAACAGTAATGCTACTGTAAAGAGGTGAGTGGTTTTCTACAGCCAGGTCTTAAGAAGGTTTCCAGTTCTGAGAGGAAGCTTCCTAGCCTGTGGTTTAGATCCTTACTTCACTCCTTGTTTCTTATCACTGCAGCCCCATCTCACCACTGCCCCAGGGTAGGTCAACTCCAGCAACTCCCTGGCTGGTGGACACTAGATATTCCACCTGTGCCTCCCAGGACCTCAGCAGCAGCAAGATCATGCTGTGATCTTCAGAGCCATGGAGTCGATTCTACTGCTGTTCCTCCTCTTCTAAAACGGACAGGCTCTCCTAGTGCCCACCACTCCCGTTGACCTGCTTGTTCCTTTTTCTTATTATTTGGTTTTGGTTAGGGTTTCTTCTCCAGTGTTGATATCTCACAATTGCAGTCTCCTCTTCTCATCCATCATATTAGGTTCTTAGTTCCCCTTGCTTTGCCAGACACAGGCACTGAATATTCTCATTCATTCATTATTTTATTCAAACAAATATCTATTGCAATTTGATCAGTGAGTTTCAACCTTTCACCTTGATAACATGTTTCTTGTGCAGTTTATTCAAATAGAATTGAAACTAAAGTTCAAGTAGCTCCAAGCAATGTAGGAGGAGGGCTTTTGTTACCAGGGTCCCTTAGAGGAGGTGAAACAGGCTGGGATAAAAGCAACATTTTCCAGGCCTGGCTTTTTCCTTCCCTTTCCATTCAAACCAGCCAACCAACTTGTGTTCATATTTCTGAGCTTAGTCAAGAAGCCAGGCACTAGACATGACAAAGCTGATGATAGCAGAGTTGGAGCACCAACCCTGACGCTGGCTCCCAGGACTACCTGGGTCATATGAAAGCTATGGGAAATCAATAAAAAACCAAACAGCCGAAGTACCAAAGGAAACTTTGATGGAGGAAGTCTAGTCATTGGTGAGTTTTCATCCCAAAGGTTCAGAAGGTCTGACCACTAGTACATAAATGGGGTCTTGGTCAATGTCAAGGCCTGGCTCACTTCCTGGCTCTGAAGCTGCCGGTAGTGGCCCCCAGATCTCTGATATGAGACGGACTAGATAGATCTACCCTGAGGGTCCTGCCTGGTCCCTGGTCCACCAAGAAGGGAAGCCTTTTCCTAGCTGGGCTTCTGATCATGGGATACTAATCAGAAGGCTGATTCTTTTCTCCTTTGTCTGATGTACTTCTGGTTCCTGGCCCTGGAAAAATATCTTTCCTCGATTACCCTATTCTTCTCTGGCTTAAACTTAGAAACCTTTTGGGCTCTGGCCTGACCAAGAAGCATGCTCATAGGCCACTACACATGGCTGGGGCTGTCTCTTTAGTTTCTTCAGCTTCTCCATTGTCAAGTTCACCCAGAGCCCCATCTCTCCACTGCCCATGTAGGCCAGATGGCAGCTTCTGTCTTGTAGACGGCTCTTCTCACCTTGTGTTTACATCCACATCTCTGACATCACCCAAGCATTTGCTCATTCACTCAACAAACAGTATAGAATAGCTATGGTCAGGACATTGCCTCCCTGGGATAGACCAATACCATTTCCCACTCTGAAGTTTGTCTTCCCAACAGCTGACTGTCTCCTGTCACGCCAACATAGTGTGTCAATCTCTGTTTTTATCTTACCCATTCAGCTCAACCTGATGGTCCACCCCATCTTTCAAATGAGAGACAGTCAAGTTCCCCAAGGCAGGGCTATCCAGAACCATGTGAGATATTTGCAATGTGAAAATGGAAATTAATAGATTGTCTGCAAGAAAAGAAGTAGTGTTTTTCTTACTGAGCCAAAATTCATGAGAGCAGCAATGTGAGAGTATACAGATCAGGAAGACAGGAATGAATACAGTCAAGGAAAAGAAAGTTGCTTTTTAAAGCATCTATCAAGGGGCAAGAATTTTTGCAATCTGTTTTCACTTAATTGTCAAGACCATCATTTGAAGTGGTTGTTTATACATGAAACTGAGACTGAGAAAGGTGCATGGACTTTCTTGAGGTAGCACAGCTGAGCTGTACAGGTCTTTTGACTCCAAGCCTAGTGCTCCTTCTATCCTATCACAGCTGCTGGATGAAGATGGGGGTGTGGAGGGGATTCAAGGAAGTGTTTCCCTCTCTTCTCTGGGTTCAGGGTCCTGCAGCCTCAGTTGAATAAGGCTGAAGATGGAGACGGCAGTTGGGGTCTGAAAGGTCCGCCCTGGGTCCTGCAACCACCAACCCTTTCTTTGCAGAGTTGCAGCATGTCAACAGTTCCCCACTGCTCCGGGCCAGCCATCCCTTGGAGCTCCGGGCCTGCGACTTGGGAAGTAGAGGCTTCAAGAACCTTTCCCAAAGCCCAGGTGAGAGGGGGGTCCTTAAAAGGAAGTGAAGGGGTGAGGAAGTGAGAGTGTAGGAGTACATGGGTTTACCAGCCCATGCCCCTCCCGCAGGCTCGTCCTCCTTTCCCTGAGAAGGATGATGAGTGTGGATGGGGTAGGGGACAGGTAGCTAAGGGGGCTGGTGGGCAGGCCGGCAAGCTGGGCTTCAGAGCAGACCGGGATGCCACTGTTCTCACACCCGGGCTTCTGTTCTCCAGGAGCTGTGCCCCAAGCTCTGGCTGCCTGGCAAGGCTTGGGACCGAAACTCCTCAGCGCCTCAAATGAGCTGGTTACTCGTCCTCTCCCTCCAGCACCCCTCTTTCCTCACAAAACTCCCCCTACTCAGAGTCAACAGACCCAGTAAGAGGGCATGTGGTTGGGAAGCAGGGCTGGGAGAGCAGGGGTGTGGGGAGTGTGTGCTGGGATTGGACGGGCTGGGGAGGGGGGAACAAAGACTTGAAGAGCTGTACCAACCACCCTGCATCACCCTCTCACTGCAATCAGGCCTCCAGTGGCACCACAGACTCTCTCCTCGGTCCTGCTGCCAGCAGCCCCCACCCCCATCCTTAGGCCCTGCAGTCCCCCAAGTCCCCGGGCCTCTTCACTCTCTGGTCCCAGCCCAGCTTCCAGTCGCCTGTCCAGCTCTTCACTATCATCCCTGGGGGAAGATCAAGACAGTGTGCTGACCCCTGAGGAGGTGGCTCTGTGCTTGGAACTCAGTGAGGGTGAGGAGACTCCCAGGTGAGTAGCTTGAGAGATAACCAAAGAACTAAAGAGAAACTACGGAAACATGTGCCTCTCTACTTGTTCCGCCCTTCCTCAATCCAGGTGTTTCTGCTACTATGACTCCCACCCCACCCTAACCATTCCTGTCTCCTCTTTTGCCTCTCCCTAGGAACAGCGTCTCTCCCATGCCAAGGGCTCCTTCACCCCCCACCACCTATGGATACATCAGCGTCCCAACAGCCTCAGAGCTTGCGGACGTGGGCAGGACCGGAGGAGGGGTGGGGCCCGAGGGGGGAGTCTTGCTGTGCCCATCTCGGCCCTGCCTTACCCCCACCCCCAGCGAGGGTTCCTTAGCCAATGGTTGGGGCTCAGCCTCTGAGGACAATGCCGCCAGTGCCAGAGCCAGCCTGGTCAGCTCCTCTGATGGCTCCTTCCTCGCTGATGCCCACTTTGCCCGGGCCCTGGCAGTGGCCATGGATAGCTTTGGTTTTGGTCTAGAGCCCAGGGAGGCAGACTGCGTCTTCACAGGTATGTGAGGTCACCCCATCTTACTCCTCACTCATGCGCCTTGCCTGTCTAACAGCCATCATCATGACATCGTTGTTAAAACAACTCGTTTTATTGAATGATTACTATATCTCGGGTACTGTGATAAGTGTTTTACATACATTTAATATTAAAAGCCTATGTAGAATATTCTTTATCCCTCTCATCCTAATGAGGAAACTGTAAGTCAGATAGTTTTATTAGCTTGCCGAAGGTCACCCACAGAACAAGTTGTCCAATTTTTTTTTTTTTTTTTTTTTTGAGATGGAGTCTCACCCTGTCACCCAGGCTGGAGTGCAGTGGCATGATCTCAGCTCACTGCAACTTCTGCCTCCTGGACTCAAGAGATTCTCCTGCCTCAGCCTCCCAAGTAGCTGCAATTACAGGCACTCGCCCCATGCCCAGCTAATTTTTTTTTATATTTTTATTAGAGATGGGGTTTCACCATGTTGGCCAGGCTGGTTTCAAACTCCTGACCTCAAGTGATCTGCCTGCCTCGACCTCCCGGAGTGCTGGGATTACAGGTGAGCCACTGCGCCCAGCCCAAATTGTCTAATTCTAAAGGCTGCCAACTGCAGGTCCATTTCCCTGACTCCAGGACTCCCCTCTTACCCTGACTTGGGTATCCAGGAAAGGTTGCTCCAGCCTCTTCCAATCCCTTCTTCTTGCTCTGTCCATGGCTGGGGCTGAGAAGCCACAGGGCTCACCACTGACATTCCCAGCAGAGTGGGACCTTTATCTCCATGTCAGCAGAAGGTCGTGCAGGGCCCTGGCTCCTTGGGTGTCCCTTCCCCACATGCCCAGTCAGATTCCCCCATCCCCATTTTACTAATCCTAACTCTACCCTTTGCCCCCAAGAAAAACAACCAGGCTTGTGGCAAATGGGAGGGCAAGGATTGTCCAGGACAGAAGGGCTCAGGATGGCAGAAAAAGAATGCCCAGTGAATGGGTGCGTGAAGGGAGAGTACAGACAGAAGGCCAGAGCTGCCCTGGGAGGAAACAGTGCAAGCACTTCTCCCTAAAGAAACCAATGGATCCAGCCCCTGGGGATGTGGCCTCTGAGACTGATGGGCTGAATTGGGGTTAGGTTATGCTTAGGGCCGAGTACATGCCCTGAGCTGGTCCTAAGCTTTTTGTCCTAAACTGGTCAACCTCCCACAGACACCTCTACCCTCCCTGACAGATGCCTCATCACCTCCCTCCCCAAGGGATGACATCTTCCTGACCCCCAACCTCTCCCTGCCCCTGTGGGAGTGGAGGCCAGATTGGTTGGAAGACATGGATGTCAACCACACCCAGAGGCTGGGAAGGGGGATGCCTCCCTGGCCCACTGACTCTCGGATCTCTTCCCAGAGAAGTCAGCTCCACTGTCCTATGCCCAAGGCTGGTGGTGAGTGTCTATCTTCCTGACTAACATGGCCATCTTGACCAGAGGGCTCCTGGGAGGAAGAGCCAGGAGGAAGCCTGGCATCGGGGAAGGGAGAGAAGGAACAGGGGCGATAAGTCCACTGTCCTTCAGCTTCTCCTGTAGATTCCTCCTGAAATTTGTCCCTAAGACTGCCAAGAAGGGAATCAGAACCACCTCTCCCACCCGCCCGCACGACCTGGGCCATGGTGTGAGGGTCTTGGCCTGTGCTTCTCTGCAGTTGGGGTCCACCTTCCCCAGCCTCCAGAGAGTTCTTCCTCCAGGATTGTGAAAACAAATGAAAACGAAATTAGAGGAAAGCAGACCTGGAGCCCCCGAGGGCAAAACATCATCTGCACTGATTCTTAGCCACTGCTTTCTCCTCTGTGCCACCCACTCCCACGACCAGGCCATTTTGGCCTGAGAAGCAGCCCTGTCTCCTGCTCTCCCCACCCACTTGGATCACAGGAAGTGGAGGAGCCAGAGGGTCCTTCATGAAGGACACCAGTGGCTGCTGGGAGAGGGCTATGGAGGAAGGAGCTTCTTGGAGCCCCCTCTTAGAGAAGAGCTCAACTCTCTCCCAACCTCACCATGGAAATAAATTACGGATGAACGCCACTAAGGCACTGAGGCCCTACTTCATGCCAAGCAAAGGGTTCAAGGCTGTGCCTAGGGAGAATGCTGAAGGAAGGGAGGTGTGGAACCATGGGATGAAAGCACTGTCCTCATACTGCTGTCGCTATGAGCTTAAGAAATTTGTTACCATAAAATGGCAAAGACTTGAGTTCTGTGAGATCATTCCCTGGAGCACCATTTTTAGGGGGGCACCTGGAGAGATGGCAAGAGTTCCCGGAGTTAGGCAGGGATCAGGCATTCACCGACACTCAGAGAGTGTCACCCATTTCTGTTCTGCAGTTAAAGGGAGAATGGTGTTCATCTATCAAATTTTAAGCAGAATATAGAAAGGGCAGGGGTGGGGGAGTTTCAGGGTCTGCTGGTCCTGGAAACTTAGATTACCACCAGATCCAGGGCCCATCTACCTGCACACAGTAAATCAATCACTGTGACAGCGTTTTGCAAAAGAGAAAAAATTTATGTGCAAGCTGCTGAGTGAGGAGATGGCAGAACAGCGCTCAAATCTGCCTCCCCAAGATAAGCCTTAGGGGTATTTATGGCTGTGGGAAGTGGGATTGTCTAAGGCGTGGGGAAGGGTGATTGGCAGTGGGGAAAATGAAGTAATAGGTTCATTCTGCCCAAGCGTAGTTGGGGTTCATGGCATTTCATGAGGACATATGTGTAGAAAATGGTTGTTATAATCTGAAGGTGGAGTTTTTGGCTCTCTGATGTCTAAAGGCCACCCCTGGAGCACTTGCAGAGGCCTAGCTACAAGGTTGGTGGTCTCCACCAGTTTAATCTGGACAAGAGCTGGCCCAGGTTCCTATAAAATGACTGAAGTGGCCATTCCCATGGTGACCTGTGAATGTTATCTATCAAGTAGCCAGTGAAGGTTGTTTCCACGTTCAGCAGCGAGGCCTTCAGCTACCGAAGTCTTGTGCTTCATAGAAAAGGGGAAAAACAAAAAGCCAGCAACCAAAAGCAAGCAGGGCAGGCAGACCTGATCAAATCAGGCCCTCGGGTTCACCTATCCTGAGGAGACAACTGCTTTCGGCAGTCCCAAATGGTTTAAAATAGGCAAAGTGGCTAAATTCCACAAAAGGTAGAACCACCTGTCAAGGTTGGCTTGGGAACACCTTTCAAAGAAAAAACAGAACAGAGAGATGAACCTGGAAGCGGGACTTCCAGGGCCTGAGCCACAGAAGGTGCTGGAGGGCAGGAGGGCTGTGTCTTCCTCCCTGGGTGGGAAAGGTTGGGGGCAGAATCCACAAGTTGGTGGAGGGGACGCTAAGAAGCATGACAGGGCCGCAGGAAGCAGGGCCCGAAAGGGGGTACCACTCCCTCAAACCCAGCAGCTCTCCTCGGAGGTCACTGGGAGTTGAGAGGCTGAGTAAGGCGGGACCATGGGGACTGGGGGCTTCCTGAGCCACGTTAATCAGGCCAGTCTGGGCTGGATTTTTGTGATCTCAGGAGGAAGAATCAGTACTCCACATATACATCGGTTTCTCTGTATTTTTTTTCTTTTCTTTTTAGCTTCCTGGTAAAATTCTTTTTGAAAACATTCCAACCCTGTTTGTCAGACTGAAGGGAAAAGAGAGATTTGTAGACACATATGCCAAAGGGGCAGATGAGGTCAGGGCCTGGACCTGGAGGGCAGCCGCCAAGCCCAGAGAGTCCAGAGAAGTCACTGAGTCGAGGGTAGAGCAAGCAAGAAGGAACAAAACCTCAGGTCACCAGTGAGTACTCGGGATGCGGGGCAGCAGGTGACAAGGACCACAGCATTCAACACCAAAACATTCTTAACAGTCCTGCGCCCGTCAACCCAATCTCCTCTGGGCCTACCAAGAGGTGCCCATCTGCAGCATACCCTCTGTGATGGAGTCAGAGGGTTTGAAGAAGCATGCTCTTCCTTCTTGCCTGGGGTTTCTCCCATAAGCTCCTCTTTCTTTGAATTTTTCCAGATAATTGTTTGTGAGAGGTGTATTTCCTTGTGGGAAAGTAGACAAACCCCAGAGGAGAGCACTAAAGAAGGGCCTGGTCGATCTTCCAAAAGTGGAACATGTGTCTTATTACTGGGCAACTGGAAAGTCTCTATGGTTGTAACTCCGGGACAGTGGGCTCCTTACTCCCTTAGGAAGCAGAACAGGTCAGTCGACACCTAGCGTTTGTTTGTTTGTGATAGGGTCTCACTCTGTCACCCAGGAAGGAGTACCGTGGCACAATAGCTCACTGTAACCTCCAACACCTGGGTTCAGACAATCCTACTGCGTCAGCTTCCCAAGTAGCTAGGATCACAGGTGCACACAACTGTACCTGGCTTATTTATTTATTTATTGTGTGTGTGGACACAAAGTCTTGCTAGATTGCCCAGGCTGGTCTCAAACTCCTGGGCTCAAGTGATCCTCCTGCTTCAGCCTCCCAAAGTGCTGGGATTACAGGTGTGAGCCATTGTGCCTGGCCTAACTTAGTGCTTTTGACAGAGTGGAAAGGGAAGCAGAAGCTACCAGTGTGTGTTGATATACAGGCCCTTGCAGTCCCCTTCTTCCCAACCTTCTGCACAGAACCAGACAAACAGGGCCCCGGGCTCTGATCAGACTCTTTTTATTGTTTTCTTTTTTATAAACAAGTCTCAGGTAAAAAGAGAAAGAAAGGGAAAAGCTAGCTCTCTGCCTTCTCAGCCAATTGAAATCATGGAAACCAAAGGGCTTCAGAAACCCCACTCATCACTGCTGGGAGGGAAGAGACATGCCTACTCCCCTTCCCCGTGGCATTCCTGATATTCTCAGTGCCCCAACAAGGGTCATCTTGGTTCCTAGGGGCAGAGAGAGAGAGATGCTGTTTCCCAGCCCAGGGCAAACAAGTCCAGGAGGGGCTCAGGCATTCTCCTAACCCAGTTCTCCTACGGAGGAGAGCCCAGACTCCTCTGTTATGTGTCATCTTGTCCTCATCCCTCTTCATTTCTTTTGTGTTTTGTTTGCTTGTTTGAGACTGGGTCTCACTCTGTAGCCCAGGCTGGAAAGTAGTGGTGTGATCATGGCTCACTGTAGCCTTGACCTCCCAGGCTCACCTGATCCTCTCACCTCAAGCCTCTTGTGGTGACTACAGGAGCATGCCACCATGCCCAGCTAATTTTGTATTTTGTGTAGAAATGGGATTTCACCATGTTGCCCAGGCTAGTCTCAAACTCCTGAGCTCAAGGGATCTGCCTGCCTTGGTCTCCCAAAGTGCTGGGATTACAGGTGTGAGCCACAACGCCCAGCCCCCTTGTCACTTCTACAGGGTTCCTCCCTCCCCCTCCCCCTCTCAATCCCCTCTTTTTGACACTCCTCCACAAGCCTTTCCTACCTTCCTATTTTCCATCACCCATTGGTCCACCGTTCCCTAGTCCTCTGCCCTCATTTCTTTTTTTTTTTTGAGACGGTGTCTCACTCTGTCACCAGGCTGGAGTGCAGTGGCAAGATCTCAGGTCACTGCAACCTCCATCTCCCAGGTTCAAGGGAGTCCCTTGCCTCAGCCTCCCAAGTAACTGGGACTACAGGCACGTACCACACCCAGCTAATTTTTTGTGTTTTCGTAGAGACGAGGTTTCACCATGTTAGCCAAGATGGTCTCAATCTTCTGACCTCGTGATCCACCCGCCTCCACCTCCCAAAGTGCTGGGATTACAGGCATGAGCCACTGTGCCTGGCCACTAATCTCATTTTTCTGCAATCTGTAGCCCCTACCTCTCGGCGTTTCTGTCCAGGCCTTTGGCTCTGGCTCCGGCTCTGACTCCGGCTCCGGCCAGGGCCCCAGGAGCCCCTAGAGCTGCTGGAGCCCCTGGAAGAGTTGCTGCCGGCAGTGGAACAGGTGCTGGTGCCCTGGCCTCGGGACAGGAAGCTTGGTCTGCTGTACAGGAGCCAGGCCTCTTCTGCAGCACAAGAGGGAAGGCAGCCAGGTGCAGGCAGGGAGTAGTACTTCCCTGTCATCCACCCTACTGCCCTGACCACAAGCCCAGAGCTGGAAGAAGACGAAGGGCAGGCACCAGGCTTAGCCAGCCTGGGGCTGAGGAGCAGCACATGGCCTTGACATAACAGGTGCTCAGAAAACTGTGAGGACGCCTCCAAGCAGAGGGAGACTTGCGGGGAGCAGGGAGAGCGCACCTAGACCCCACTCCTCTCATCTGGGCTTCTGTCCTGGGAATGAATGCAACCTGGGACTTCAGGGGATTGTGCTCAGAGAGAACTAGAGAGACAGGGGAGTTTGATGTGGATCAA